CATGTCGGCGCACGTGATTAACCGCTCAAGTGTGACACGCTCTGTGAAGGACCATAAATATAGCGCTAAGCGCCATTCACACAGAATGCGCTTTTGTGTTGACAAAGATGCGACGCGGGCAGTGGAATAGGAAAAACATGCTAGAAGATGGGAGTGAACTTTTTTTAACTTGAGCGCCGCGTTTTTAGAAAGCCGTTTCATGCATGAGATGCTGCAAGAGACGTGAGCGCAACAGTCAAACACATCCATGTTTACATAGAAAAAACAATGCAAAAGCTGCGCAATCGAATAAAAAAAACCTGTAAAGAACTACTACTGTATGTCTGATATTTCATGTTTGCATCATGGTGACAGGCTGAAAGCTGCTGTTGTTTTTACAGAACATTTATAGTTAGTCTGTTATGCCTTCAGTCATTTTGAATTTGAATTACCTTCACTTTTGAGATTTTTTAAAAAACATTTTCCTTGTATTATTTCTGAACACATAATATGTATAAGACAAGTTTGTACAATATGTAGTTGTAGTTCATGCATTTTTTCTGCAATGATATTTAACAAGTGATTTGTTTAACATTTACATCATGTTGACAACTTCATGTGTGCTGCACTTGGAATAAAATTTTCTTTAACTAGAGGGTTAATAAAGAAAAAGTTACTTGAATCATGTTGTAGTTACATTTTCAAGTTGACTAGTTAAAAATCTTAAAAAATCGAGAATCAGTCAAACGTTCTGCAAAAATCGAGATTAAATTTTTTTTGCCAAATCGCCCAGCCCAAGTATGAGGCAATCAGGTTCCACAAATGGTTTGACTTAGCATAACTTGTAGGGTTTTTCAGAGAAAGAGGAAGTAAAGCTTAAAAGAAAGATTCAAACAAATAAGCACATGAGGATTCATTTAAAAATAGAGACGAAAAGCAGAACAAACTTCATAGTTACGGACATACAGCATGAAAAGGACAGGCAAAATGGAAAAACATGAAGCCCTGTTAGCTTGAAATGCAACAGGCTATTCTTTGGAGGAAACTGTGAAATTTGTGGATGTTTGGGAGAATATATATGGTGGTTTGGCTGGACAATTAATCGAAAAGAAATCCAAACTGTAATTCAGAACCTCTAACTGATGTAATCGTCCCATGTCAATTATTTATTTATTTATTTTTAATCCTGTTAATACTTTCCCCATACTACCGTGTGTATGCGGCACTAGACGAACGTGTATGACCATTGCGCTTGTGTCTTTTACAGCGTCTTGAAAGTGAGGCCTTTGATGAAAACGGATGAACAATTAAACCATAAAAAGGAAAAGGAATTATCTGGTCAATAGTAACTGTTGCTAAAGTGCTGATGGAAAATGGTGATAGAGAACAAATAATGTCACCAAGAGTTGATTTTCCCAGGCGAGGTGAAAGTGAGGAGAAAAATGGAAATACGAGATGCCAGTTTGGACAAACTGACGAAGAAAGAACGTTGGCTGAACAGAATAACAGAAAAGGTTGGCAGGGTGTCACGTGTGCCTATAGACTTCTGGAAGGGGGAAAGCCCTCAGAAAGAGAAAGGTGCAAAGTCTACATAACGAAAACCTATTATAGAAGGAGAAACAGAATATCTACAAGCACACAGACTGGCCCTGATAGACAAGGTAATCGTGAATTTAACCACAACATCAGAACCTGAAATACTCGCCTGTGCAGTTGAAATGGAACTGGCTGGGGAATAAAGTGCAGGATTATTCCTGAGTCAGACATGGCCGTTGAAAAATGGGATGGAGGGGAAAAACAAGAAAATTTGTCAAGAAAATTGAAGAAATGGAAAGGACCATGTTTGCTAAAACCCATATTAATAGTAATATTGGTAACAGTCACCGTAACACTAGTAGGGATATGGCCAATAGTTGAATTAGCTACCCAACTGATTACAGTGGACCAAATTTACGTACATGAAGTCGCAAATTGTATTATAGTAGACAGGGCCATCCTTTGGAATGCAAAGATTTGGCACTAAAATGATATTAAGAGATACAGTCCTTAGGGAAGATGTACTGAGAGGGAAGATGTATTGAGTCCAAAAAAGTGAAAAATATGAATGAAAGAGTACATGAATGTTACTGAGAAAATGAAGATAATGACACAAGGTCAAGTTTTCAGTGAATTTATGAAGTTTAACAAAAAGACCAATGAGGTTTACATGCAAATGAGAATGAGAGAGTAATAAATGTGTTAGATTGAACCAGGAAAATGGCAAGAAAGGGGTGTTTTAGATATTGATATTGCTATTTACCTGTTTCAATGTTATATTATTTGCTTGATTTTAAGTTAGTGCCATATGCTTTAGTATAAAAATGCTTGAATGTTTTGGAAAGTACTTGCAATACTTCCTTAGTTTATACTTTAAAGCTGACATAACACACAGTTTCTTTCAGTTTCTCATGTTACTCAAGTTAATCCCTATAGAGTATTATCGCATCCTTCATATATCCGAAGAATCTTTAGTTTTATCAGATTTATTAAGGACAGATACAGCTGTACAAAAAAAAAGTCAAGCTCCTGGAGGCGTGCTGTGGGCAGAGCTAAAGATTCACGAGCACACAAAGCTTTTGCTTAGCAATCGTTTTCAAGCTGTGACACTGACGTAAATAAAACAGGAACAAAAACTTCATTGACCCCAACAACTTCTGTTACCCGAAATGAAACACGTTGATGGGCGAGCTCGTTCTCGCTCTGGGGGTGCGTTTCCCGAAAGCAACTATGGTCGCAAGTTCCGTCGTTACAAATAGAATTCAATGGAACTTTCGACCATAGTTAATTAACGATGCTTTCGGGAAACGCATACCTGGTTGATGTGAGCACCCGAAACTTATACAAACCCTGAAGCAGTGTCTTTGCCACAGAAATACTCCGTCATACGTCCAACTCGTTTTTTGAGACTTTGGTCATGTTTAGCATGAAAATCCAACTCCTTAGCAGCATAAATAAGTCAGAATGCATTAAAAAGCACTAGACATCCCCTTTAAGATAGGATGAATAAGCAAAGGTTGTGAAAGTTAGGATTCTGAGTTTGATGCTCTGTAAACAACCACATGAAGACTCAGTGGTGAAGAGAGCATGTTGCAACATCAAGCAGTGATGAAACAGATGAAAACTGCATTGAAGAAGAGGAAGAGTGCTATATGAAGACGCAAGTGGCATAGGAATGACATCCGCCTTATTAGATGTATCATACATTGATATGTAATTGGAGTTCCCCAAAAAGTTGTATAAAAGGTCTGAGGAGTAAACCACTCTTCAGATGCTGCTTGCATTAAGCGTGAAGGACACCTGATACCCTATCGAGGGACACCTTACAGCATCTCCAGTATTGCTGTTTAGAGTTTGATTATAGAACTCATAACTTGGCTGATTTTAGTTTTTATTTTTGCATTAACTGCTTTGTATGGTAACCAATAAAATAAGAGATTTAATTGCCTCCCGTGAGACTTTACTTATAACTACAAACTGATCCTCAAAAAAGAACAACCACAAGAGAATCTTCTACATCATTCCTGAAGGACTTCAAACTGTGAGCAGGTGAGTACTTCATGGCAGGGCTGGGCCATATGGCCAAAAAATGATCACAATCAAATATTTCATATCAGTTCATACTGATAATTATCACAATCAATTTTAAATCTTTAGGCACATTTTTGCTCCCAAGCGAAAACCAGACAGCTAATTGTAGTTTTAAACTACTCTTTATGGCCAGAACATGACAAACACAGCACGTTTTTGAATTCTTTACACTTTTCCAGTCATTTTTCCTAAACAAAATAAATAACAGAAAAATGTATTTCTTAGTTTCTGCATGTTCTAATAAGTGATATTGTTTCAAATCATGAAACAGGTTTGTGTTGCCTGACTTTGATGACTTGTATCTTCAGCACAGTTGCAGTGCAGGCTGCAATATTAATAATAATATACATATATATATTTATACACACATACATACATATACATATATATATATATATATACATACATATATATATATATATATATATATATATATATATAATCTCTTAGAAATGCACATTTGACAGTAGTAGTTAGGAGTTAGGATGCAGATGTAAATTTGTTCATTATCAAAAACAGTAACATCTGTAAAAAAAAATTGTAACAACCTCATTTTTATAAGGTGAAATGTAATTATTCTGACTGTTTTTTGAGTTTTATTAAAATTACCCATTGTTCTTCCATAGTAGCATACATCTAGACATTGATAACCACAGTTAAAAACACAAAAATAGCACCTCAATACCATGGTAAAAATGTAACTATAACTGTTTCATTCCGCTTGCGGCGCATAAATATTATATCGAACATTTACTCTTGTTATCGTTTTATAGAGGAGAATTATATCACGATAATAGCCCTACTTCATGGTATCATCAAGCCCTACTTAGGCTTGATTTGACTATCCTTACCCTACCTGAATAATCATAGGGTTAACGGTGTACGATAAAAGGACACATCAAACAACGCCTTTCATAACGGTGTACGATAAAAGGACACATCAAACAACGCCTTTCAAAACAAACACATAAAACCAGCCCACGTGCGACTTCTTGACCACATTCTCAGTCTTTTGACCCTGTAATTACACGCAATGACACCGCACTTGTTATTCTCATTATTAACGTTGGGAATTTTACATCGTTTAAAAAAATGCCTTAACGTTACTTGATAACTGAAGAAACAAAATAGGATTGTGAACGATTGCCTTTATAACCACTGCGACAGATTTACAGCCTGTTCCACAGTTAATATTTAGTATTATCAGGTAAACAAAAACAAATATATACGTTGGTACATTAATCACTACGATCTCAGTTCAGGCGAATGTGAAATATGAAAATGAGACGTTCATAAACAGAGCTGCAGTTATTTGCATTCTACCGTTAGCTAGCCTCATCTCCAATGACCTTCTTTATCTGTGTAAACATACCAATAATCGCAACCTCTGCGGTCTCATATATTTCATAAACTCATATTCGGAGCCGATAAAAAAAAACTTCAACTCACGTTTGAAATAGACAGAAGTAAATGTTTGGCTTGTCAAATGTGGAGGGAAATCAGTCTCCAGTGCGGGTCGACCAATGCCGCTCCGGAAGAAGATGTAACTAGACTAGACTTGTACTTTACTTCCGGGGTTATTGGAAGACGGGTTTTTTTTGTGTGTGTGTGGAAGTAGTTTGTTACTAGGGCTGTTACCAAAAACCGAGAGCTATCTAGTTAGCACTTTAAGTGATTTTTTTTAAGAATACTTTCAAAATGCATTTTATGTACTTCAAAATAAACTATAAACCTCTGTTATGAAAATAGCAATTACTGATATAAACAAACACAAGCACACACAGATAGATGCATGATGAGGACATGTGGTCAGCCTGAATAAGTCACAGTTAAACATTGTTCATATAACAAAGATGTCTGATAACAAAAAGCACCTTCCTCACGTGAGACGCACAAACTCAGTGCGTTCTTTGTTCAGCTAGCAACAGACACACACACATGACAAAAATCATCGCCACACAGTACGTCACATGACATTTTTTAGGTGTCCATGTCTGCTACGGAACTCTTCATCCTTCTTCCACCATCTGATGTCTTTTAGTGAGATAATGACACTTCAATGTTGTTTACAGGAAACCCGATTACAGTGAGCACAAGTAACCCAAATGTCCAGATTATGTTAGTGTCATACTATGACATCCTAAAACTGATGAATGAGTTTATAAAGCAATACTGAGCTAATTTAACTTCAAGCCTAAATTCACAGTACAAGGAAATAATTCACATGTTGCGTGTCATTCTGAAAGAAGAAGGTGAATGCAGAAAGGACATGATGTTTGTGGGACATCGGTTATAATCTCGCTGTTTCTGTTTCTGAATGAGAGAACAAGCCATTATTAAACACGTTATTAAACATGTTATTAGCGCACACTAGTAAGGATCAAATGCAGCTTGCACACAGACAATCTAGAAAGCTCAATTTATATAGACTATAATAAGAAGCTTCTGCAGGCGTTAATGTTCAGAATAAAACTGTAGTATCAGAAATGGTGTTCAGTTGTAGAAACTATAAATGAGACTGACCATTTACTGTATATAAAGAAAAGGAATGTCAGTGTGACAATCTGTCCTGTTTTACGGTCCACTTCTATTGGGAGATAGGAAATTAAATTCCTTAATTGGAATCACTAGGTTCAGATTACAGCCCTCTTGCTTGTTCACTGCAACAAAAGCTTGTTGCACTCTTGCTCTCATTGCATTGACAAGTCGACGTATACTTTGGGAGTCTTTACTGCCCTGAGGTGAGTTGAATGTTTCTATATTGCGTTTTACTTAATGTTTCTGCTCTGACATTAAATTATGCAAGTTTGTTGACAAACCTTAAATAATTTTACACTGAAAATAAGAAAATATAAGAAATCACATGAGCAAATTGCGTGGGATTAAAATCAAGAAATAAAAAAGTAAGTGTAAAGAATTAGTGCAAACCCAACTTTAACCCACTAGCCATGTGCATTGGTTTGTAGTTCTAAATTTAAAAAAATAATAATAATATATATATATATACACTGAACAATATATATATGCACACACACACACACACATTCTATTTATTATTAATTCTGAACATTTAAAAATCAAATTAGATATAGTGTGTGTTAAATCAATAAATTAATGGTAGTTGGAAGCTAATTGATTTGACCTCTTATGGTCAACTTATGGGTTATGATCATGAATTTACTTGTTTATTTCTTTAAATGTTTCCTAAAATATAGTTGCTTTTACGTTTGCATTACATCCTCCTTGTAAGTTACTTGCAATGTACAACTTAATTTTTTTCAAGATCAGTGGGATTTATTTATTTATTTAGTACAGCCTCAAAACATTTAACAAAATAAAAATACATACATTCAACAATTTATACAAATATGTTGGCTTCATTTGTGACTGAAAAATGTAACTCATGCATTAGAATGTCAAATCTATATGTAAAAGTTCTTTGCTGTTGGTCTTAGCTGATTTAAGTTGGTCGCACAGCATGGTCAAGCTGGTTTAAGCTGTTTTAAGCAGGATAATGCAATATTTTGCAGGCAATTACTATTATAGGAATATTATGTTAGGCAAGGGCAAATTTGTCTAATAATAATGAATTTACTTGTAATTGTACTTATTTGGGTGTTGCTCCTATTTAATGTGAATGAATTCAGTAGTAATCAATGACAGCACATGATCAAGGTCGCCTACAGTGAACTTCCATGTCACCAGGGAGCATAAATGGAAAAAAGAAAGACAGCATTACAAGAGTTACAAAAAGAGACACAGTGTGATTAAATCAGGCAAAATCAAATTATACAACTAGGGACATGCAGCATGAGACATATTCCCATGACAACTGGCTATACAAACAGCATGCTATACTCATTATGGCCACAAGGTCAAAAAGTAATTTTGAGTATGTGCACCTTTGGAATGTGTAAAGGTTGTCAAATCATTGTGTATGTTAAAAATGCTGATCAAAATGGTATTTGTATGCCTTTGAAACATGCTTGTAGAGTCAAACTACATTTCCAAGCCACACTGAGACTTTTGTGCTAGAAATAAGCCACTTTATGGAGCCACGTAATTAAATTATTGAATTACACATGACAAAAAAAGTCATGTGTCACATGTACCCTGAGAAAACTCACTATGTGTAATCATTCAAACATGGACTTAATTTAAATCACATAACACAACTGTATCATGTGGTCTAAAGTTTTATGTTTCGTCCTTTACTCTACAGGATGGCGCTACCTGATTATCCTATTCCAGAACTGGATGTCACGCTCCAGGAGACTAGCCGCGTGCTTCAGCTCACCTTAAATCCTGACCAATACCAACTCTATAAAACTGCCCTTCTTCAGCAGAAAGATGCACTCCAGGAAGTCCAAGAGCAGCTGAAAAAACACATCTCTGGACGTGAGAACTGGGTGACTGAGGAATTCAAAAAGTGGCTGCTCTCCTGCTACGATCCCCTGCCCAATTCCACTGCTGTTCCTTCTGTCCTGCCCTCCTCTAAGCTGAAGGGGGAGTTTGCACAGATAGAGCGAGCTACAGCCCTGCTTTGGGCAGCTGCTAAGCTGTACAGTGAACCACGGCTGGTAGAAGGGGATATACCAACTGAGCGAACACAACAGTCGCAGGTTTTTGCGGCTAGTCGCCTACCAGGCAAGAGCCAGGATGAGCTAAAGGTAAAGCTTTGGTTCCATTCTTTTTTTTTACATCTAACTTCCAATTTTAAGATTCTTTAGCAAAGTAATTTTTAGAAATGCTGACTCAATCTGAATGACATACTTTCTTGGTCTTAATGTTCCAGACATACCAAGACAGCCTTCACGCCATATTGACCTGTCGAGGGGGTATATTTCCGATTCAAATTTTATGGCAACCAAGTTCAGGAGAATCTCTTTCTCCTTTACCTCTCAATGACATCTATGCCCAACTGGTGCATGCAATGAGTCACCCAGCAGCAGCCCCTGAACAAGACCCGTCCACTATTTGTGGTCTGTCTTCTCTTCATCGCCAAGCCTGGCATTCTGTGAGAATGGAAATCTTAAATGCAGGGGGAGAAGCAGCAGTTTCTCTTGAAATGATGGAGAGTGCCATTCTGGCTGTTTCCCTGGAAGACAACCCAGCACCGGCTGATCTTGCAAATATGCTCAATGCTGTCCGGCTAGGAGAGAACGATGGCAGATGTTTGAGATACTATGATAAAGTATGTAAAAACAAATTAGGATGCTTATAATTACCACTTTATAATTAGTACTGTGTAGCAGGAAACTTACGTTCCCATGCTAGTCAGAGTTTTGCAAGATTCTGAATTGAAGAATTCAGGCCTATAAACCATGAAACTGCAAAGCTTTTTTAAAATAAAAAAAATCATATTAATTACTTTGCATTTCAAAATATTTTAACTCTAATTCTTACATTCAAATTTTGCAACATGTTTGCAAACTAAAATTCCATTGAAATTCAAAAACTATACTGGAATTTATAGGCATTCTCGATTCGGTTCTGAATGATGCACAAACTGTGATGATTTCTTTAACATGTAATTATTATTAATGCTAAATCAAACTCAGCTGTCTGTAATGTTTAGATATGAATGGCAGAATGGCATGACTATTTACCATCTTCATCAACAGGTGGTGAACTTGGTGGTTTTTAAAGATGGCCAAGCAGGCATGTTGTTCGAACATAGTGCCCTGGATGGAATGGTAGCTGGACTTGTCGTTGAACACCTGTGGCAGCTCTCAGAATCAGAAAACAGAGAAGAGATAAGCACCCAAAACAATGGTTTAGCTCCACCCTCAAACACTGGTTCCCTTCATCCTAAACCTCTGAAAATGCCACTGGACGGCATAACTATGCCGAATCAGTCTCTTTCTAGCCTTCAACAAGACAGCCAGTTTGTCATGACTTTTGAAGTTTCATCTTACCCAGATGTCTTCACCACCTTAAGGGGCCACAGAGGTTTATATGATGCATGGATTAATTTCACTTTGCAGCTATCCTTGAGGCAAACACTTGGGGATGCAGCTACTAGCCTTATCATGGTGACACCTACTCACATGCGTCACTTCAAACATGGCCGCTGTGATCCCACATACTCCACAACTGTGAGATCTCACCAACTTGTTACAGCACTGGCATCCTGCATTGGCCCAGACAAGGTTCCCCGGTACACAAATGAGCTTTTCCGGCTCTTTCACCTTGCCTTTTTAGAGCACAAAAACCTCATTAAAGCCACAAAACTTGGCCTTGGTGTGGGGCCTCATCTGGCAGCTCTGCGCAAATCTATGTCTCAAGATAACCCACTCAAAAACTTTCTTGTCCCTTTTGGATGCCCTTCAATTTACTTGACTGGATCAGATCTGATGGAGGGAGTTGAGTGTGCTGTAGGTAACGTGTATGCTACAGACCAACTGGCAGTCACATATCTAGGCAGGAAGGACAAAGTACGTCTAGTGCTGAATGGGAAGGGTACTTTCGCCAACATCCTGGGAAATCTCAAAGAAAGACTTGAGCTCAATCTAAAACTAGTAATGCTTCTGGCACTAAGGTATGC